TATTATTATTATTATTATATTATTATCGGTGCGTGTGTCAGTTCTATATAGACGTTATGATATCTGTTTTTAATTAAACTTATTACCGCACCACCCTCTCCCCACATTCTTATCGCACGCACGCACGCAGCGCACGGCACGCCACGCCACGCACGCAGACACACACACACACCCACCCGACACACCACCAGCACACACACGCACCCACACACACTACCACAACTGCACACAAAATCACACACACACGCCCACAAAAATACCTTAACCTACTATTTTAATCGCGCTTCAAAATACTTTTATAAGCGCGATGCAATTCCAGCCAATTCAGAACAGTGGTTTTTACATCGCGCTTTAAATCGATTTAAGCTGCGATAAACCACTGTTCTGATTGGCTGGAATTCAATCCCGCTTTAAAATACATTTTAAGCGCACCGATTAGAAAAGGTAGGTTTTGGCGTTAATGACCTTCCATATGATGCGTGCGTGCGTGCGTGCGTGCTGTTGCGTACGTGAGACGTGAAGATTTGCGACTGGCGCGCGTTATGCTTATGTTCAGGCGCGAACTTGCATGAAGCCAGTCTAGCACCGCATCCAGCCAAAACCCTCATTCTAACAATCGTACCGTTCTTGTTTCTGTCTTTCTAAACTGGCGTTGGATAATAAACAAGTTAGCGCAGCAGTCATCACAGCTTTCGAAAACTTACATCGCCGAACGACCACGGTCCTGAAACGTGCCCCAAATATATTACGCCAGACCTTATATTGCGAATCAAAGTTCAAATAAACAAGTATTTCGAAACATAGGGTCTGTGTATCTGTCTCCGTTACTGCTCGTTGGCTACGTACGTACGCACGCACACAACAAACAAACAAATCTCTACTTCCATTAAACTCATTACAAACCGAAACCGATAGTGTATTATTAACTCTCCGGGAGACGATATAGCTTAGAACGTATAGCCATAGATAGGCCTGTGGCAGAGCGAAGGGCTATCAGTTCTAGAGCTAGTGGGAAGAGGAGAGAGGAGAGAGAGAGAGGACTCTTCCGATTGAGTCAGTCGAACTACAGATTCTCCACCAGAACGCGAGCGACATGACAGACGTCTTCGAGCGACAAAAAGCAGACCGTGTGTTTTTGCGGTGGCTAGCACGGCTTGCGGTGCGATTCGCAGCTAGAGTAAACAGCCGCCCACAGTACTTACTAACTGAGCCTTGACGCCCGCCGCAGACGAGACTATAGAGTCTCGCGTTACATAACCATGTTCGCTGATCAAGTAATCCTTACGAGGGCCAAGCAGCAGCCGGCCGCTACGACAGGAAGTGGTACAACAACTGCTCGACATGACATTAATCACATCTGCTCGCAAGAGAGAGAGAGAAGAGAGAGAGAGAGAGTGGAGAGAGAGACGACGAGAGTGAGAAACGATGAGAAAGAGATGGGAGAGGAAAGAAAAGAAAGAAAAACGAGAGGAGCGAGAGGACGACGCGGGCGCGAGAGAATGAAAGGACGAGAGAGAGATAGAGCGAGGAAAGAGAAAGAAAAGAGGGAGAGAAAGAAAGAGAGGAGAGAGGGGGAGAGATGAAAGATGAGAGAGAGAAAGAGAAAGAAAGAAACAAGGGCGCAGAGAAGAAAGAAAAAACGTTCAAGAGAGAGAGAGAGATGAGAAGGAGTAGTAGTAAGAGAGAGAGAAAGACGCGGAGAGAGAGATGAGAAGGCAGAGAGAAGAGAGAAAGAGAGAGAGATGAGAGGTCTGGGTGGAAAGAAGACGCTGAGTGAGAGAGAGACGAGATGAGAGAGAGATGAAGAGAGAGAGATGAGAAACAAAAAGATTGAGAGAGAGAGAGATGCACGGCCGCGCGCGCGAGAGAGAGAGAGAGAATAGAGGAGAGCAGAGCTAGGAGGCGGGGGGGGTAATATGAGAGCATACGGAAGGGAAGGAGAGTGCTCGTCCCGGCATTTGATCCGAGCTGCTAGCGGAGGGATTCTCTGTACGAGTCTACACCCACACCTTCCCCTCTAACACAGCAGCTTTGGTGCGTGTGACACGCGTGATGCAGCATGAGCAGTAGTAGCCAGCAGCAGCATCAGCAGTAGCAGCAGCAGTAGTAGAGCAGCGGCAGCAGCAGCGTAGCAGCAGTGGCAGCGAGCAGCAGTGCAGTCAGCCAGAGCAGTTAGCAGCAGCAGGCAGTCAGTAGCTAGCTTAGCACCAGCAGCGGCAGCAGCAGCAGCCGCAGACAGCAGCGCACCACCACCACACCACCAGATCGCGGCAGCAGCACCACCACCACCGCACCAGCAGCGGCAGCAGCAAACAGTAGCGCAGCAGCAGCAGCAGAGAACCACACCACCACTACCACCACCACCATCAGCCAGCAGCGGCAACGCAGGCAGCCAGCAGCGGCAGTCAAGAGTATTCGATATGCGCAAATGTCAGCAGCAATCAATCGACGCTTCAATTCGATCGCTCTTCATAAACACGCCGACCGTAGCATTAGATGAGACGCCACCATTTACAGACATGCACAAACATCGTAGCAATGATGAGAGCACCATCTACACTGCACAACCATCGTAGCATGATGCAGACCGCACATCTTACACATGCCCACAACCATCGTAGCATGATGAGACGCCACATCTACACCATGCACAAACCATTCGTGCGATGATGAGACGCACGCATCTACACATGCCACAACCATCGTAGCTATCATGAGACGCACCCATCTACACAACCATCGTAGCGTGATGGGACGCACACATCTACACCAACCATACGTAGGTGATGATAGACGCACATCTACACAACCATCGCTAGCGTGATGAGACGCCACCTATACTACACAACAATCGTTAGCGTGATGAGACGCACCATCTGACACAACCATCGTAGCATGATGAAGAACCGCACCAGTCTACAGCAACCATCGTAGCATGATGAGGACGCACCATCTACACACATCGTAGCGTGATGAGACGACACCATCTTACACAACCATACGTAGCGTGACTTCGAGACGCCACCATTCTACACAAACCATCGTAGCATGATGAGACGCCCAACCATCTACACAAACCATCGTAGCATGATTCGAGACGCACCATCTACACAACCTCGTAGCATGATGAGACGCACCATCTTTACGCAACATCGACTAGCATGATGAGACGCACCATCTACACAACCATCGTAGCGTGATGAGACACACGCGTAGCTACAACAACCCGGTCACCGTTAGCATGAGACACACGCACATGACCTGAGTGATGCCAACCCTCGGCCAGCTGAGAACTGCTGACGTCAGGCATTACGTAGCGCGTGACGTAGACGCGTTCGGGTTTTTACTCTAAACCATGAGAACGTGCGAGCCACGGCGCATCCCACAGGCACTTGGGACAGAGTCAGTAAAACTGAAAATAATATGAACGCACATTCACAAATAGGCCTACTACCGTACCTCTCTGTTACAGTTCCACTGTTGCGTCCCTGTATATACACTTTCCTTGTAAAAACTAACGCCGAACGCTCCCGCACTCGCCGCTGCCGAGTCGTGCTGTGTCGCCCATGAGAAATAGTATTATATACAAGATCTATCATATATACTCTTTATTAAGATTCTTCTATATATATATTCTCATGCACACAGCACCCACTCGCCGAGGCGGCGAGGTGGGAGGCCGTTCGGGCTGTTAGTTATTTACATGGGTTTTTATGAAGCGAAAGTTTGGATATACAGTGAACGCAACGAGTGGACTATAACGAAGGTACGGTAGTAGATAGGGCCTATTTCAGTATTTGTGAATGTGCGTTCGTATTATTTTCAGTTTTTACTGACTCTGTCCCAAGTGCCTGTGGGCGCATCACTCCACGCCGATGCACACCCTAATATCGACGCGCCAAGGTTACACAATCGCTCGTCGTTTTCGCAGACTTGTATACGTATAAACGTCATGCTCTGTATGGTGTACGTACTCCGTAAGTATCGGAATTACTGTCGCGTTTTTTTAAACCGACATACTGGGATTTCTCACTGGTTTTTACATCAATTAATTGCGATAGTATCGACGAAGAACCTTCAAAAACTTACCTTTTCTATAGCTTTGAGGCAATCGATCACGGTTAGCTTGTACATGCACGGCCCAAACGATGCATCTCTGAAACATGAATGAAATTTACTATTAACCGTGTATCATGCAATCCGCGCGCTACAAGTACAATACGGACACCAGCAGACAACAAACTAGTTGTTAGAATACAAGAAATCATATTATAGACTGTTGCTATGCTAGAATGCAGGTGGATATATAGCCGGTGTCCTAAATTAAATAATGCACTTATCTATGCATACAGCCATAGTAGAACACGCAGGAACGAACGCACATACATACACACGCACGCACGCACACACGCACGCGCACACACACGTACGTATAACAAGATCTTCGTTAGCTAGCAGGTAGATTACTATCATGTGATCAGCGGAAACTGAGACACGCATCCCGTGAGGCGTCAACAGAACGTGCGTGACGTCACGCGTCCACCGCTGAACCACAGACTCTGAACCCATGGCACCTCAATTAATCAGCAGAATCCAATCAGCGTTGCGACATCAAAGTCACCATGCACATCGCTGCGGCTTCAGGCGCCCGCGGTCATGAGCGCGAACAGATGATCAACGGTAGTGCTAAGTTAATACTGCTGCATCTTTGTAAACATCAACCGGTAGTGCTAAGTTAATACTGCTGCATCTTTGTAAACATCAACCGGTAGTGCTAAGTTAATACTGCTGCATCTTTGTAAACATCAACCGGTAGTGCTAAGTTAATGCTGCTGCATCTTTGTAAACATCAACCGGTAGTGCTAAGTTAATACTGCTGCATCTTTGTAAACATCAACCGGTAGTGCTAAGTTAATACTGCTGCATCTTTGTAAACACGGCCGTGGCAGTGAATTTTCTCAAGGTGTAAACACCTGGCTCTCAACATTGGATACTGTGAATCTCCCGTGGCTCGAATGGCTACGAATAATGGCGGTCCCGTCTCCAGTAATACTAAGGCCAATGGGTACGTAAAAGAACCACTGAGGGCGCAAAAAAACTCTGACTGTGTCCACCCTCAGTGCCTTTCGGCTAAAAAACCAAACTACCTGGCTTTACCCAAGCTAGGTCACACCCCATGGCTAGCTATAGCCTAAGCTATGGCAATCAAGCAACACGATTTCTCTGTGGCCGTCTGAGCTAAGCTGTGCCGTCGATCAACAGGACTTCTTGCCAAGGGACGCTATCCTGCGCCATGTAGCGTCGTCATCGTAGGCGTAGCCCCGCAGTTTAATATATATAATACTCGATATACTCGATAAAACCACGTGGACACTTGGAACGATTTAATTATAAAATAATGGTAAATGAACACAAAATGTATTTACTACTATAGTCCATAGACATACACAACATATGTGTGTGTGTATATCTATGTATAGTCTTAATGTTGATCTATACTGTCTTTCGCCCATTATTGCTGATTTCCTGTGAATGCCGTTCATATGCGCCTCGATCTGCAACACAACATGAGTATACACCGCACGCACGCCGCTGTGCACAAACAATAAAAATCTATACTTGTGTGTTGCAGAAGAACACTTGAACGGCATTTACAGGAAAATATCAGTAATAATAGGCGAAAGAGAGCATAGAAACATTAAGAATTTTGTAGTAAATACATTTCGTGTTTATTTTCCATAATTTTATTATTGAAACGTTCCAAGTGCCCGTGGATAAAACGGTACGGACACGATATTGTAGCCAAACATGGCAATATATAAGGAATATAATTACGTCAGCATACAGTCGGCACTCGGCAGCGATGTACAATGTGTTTTCACTGGCGACTTCTACCCTAGGGTACTGCAACTCAATTATGTTCTTATTAGAATAAAAGTTAATGACTTCGATTCACATTTGCTTTTCTGCGGAGGTGGCAAAAAATTCGCATTAAATATTCACGGGATACAATCAGGAGATTTGTGAATAATTAAATTGTTCATTGATGTTTCCCAATGCCAAACAGTGTGACACGCACGCGCTCATGTGCATTCTTTCGCAATAGGTGAATAATTGATTCTAACATCAAGGAAATTGTCTGTGCCCTACGTTCAGAATGATACAAAACTAGGTGCATTTCGTACGGAAATACAGCCAACCTAGAGTGCGGGAGCGGGGGTATATATAATTATATATATACATACGCGGTGTAGGTTTATAACAACATTGTTATGTTCATGATTAAATAAATTAGATGGTTAGATGAATGGTTAGAAGAATCATCTAGACATGGTTAGATGATTAATGATATTGATGGTTAGACGATTGAATTTTAATGCGCGCGGTGCGGAAGCAAGCATCGATACAACAGCATGTACATCGAGGCTCAGATAAACCCGGACCAATCTTAGATGACCACTGCACAAATGCAGGCATTATAACAGCAGTTATTAATTAACGACCATGTGCCGTACCCACACAGACATGGGTGACCACAGCACCCACGCAGACGTGACCACGGCAGCTTACACATGTGCATGACCACAGTGCTCAGTAACCACTACGCCAACATTGACGACCAACGCGCTCCATTGATTAAGCAGCGCACCCACTCAGCATCACAGGAGCCCGCACATCCGTGTGTCACCATCTCCCTCATCCTCGCATAACGAGCATAAACAATCAACAGATCGTTTCTCGGAGTGGGCGCGCGGCCGATCCCACGCGGGTCCGCTCGCCACACCCAAAGCCCCTTTACACGGACGTGTTAAATAAATCTACAGCCTATATAGAGTGACTTTTTAGGCACACCCTCTATCTGTCAACGCTGTGCTGTGCGCACGATGGCTTGCTGTATAATTAGATGCGGTTTGGAGCATGATCCGACTGCTTTCATCTGTGCGAGTAAACACCGAACCAGGCTATCTATCAAAACCCAACCCTAGGCTATTCCTCACGCCCCCACGCAGCATTGAGTTAGGTGGGATGGTGAGTAGGGGTGGACGGACGAGTTCTTACAATGAGCTCCACTTCTCACCGTATGGGAAAACTGGAAAGAGTAGTTCGCACTGCAGACTACATTCTATCCCCCTGCGAGTTTTATTCGGCTTTAAAAAAGCTTTACTCTCTACGCCCTACGGTATAAAACTCTACAGTAGGCATTCTTTAATGTAATAGTTGCAATTTTCACTAACGGCCCCAGCATCCGCGATGCAGCCCCAGTGACGGCTGGTACAAACAGCGAAAAAAACGACGAGCTAGAGTTGAGACGTATATGTATCATTTATTATTCGCGGGGCCGTCACAGTACATCCGTCAGCCTGTGTGCACGCTGCGGTGTGCTGCCCCTTTACCTGACAGGTGTAGCAGCCCACACATCAGGTAGACACACAGGTACAGCCACGACCAGCAATTACTCCACGCATGAGATCCGCCACGCATTCGCGGTAATGCTATTCGACTGAAATCACGCCTTGTGATCATTAACTCTTGTCAGGGGGAAAGTGCTGCGTCACATTTTTTTTTAAAGTGGCCACACTGCAATGTAAATCGTACTAGCGAAAAAGCATGTTTTTACAAAATATGAACTATGAAGGCATCGATGATTAGGTTTGTTCACTGTTTATGGAGCTAACTTGCACTTTCTATTTTTACCGTTTGATGTTAGCAAACTGACGACTTGGCGAGCACGATAAGTCGAATAAAGTCTTGGATTTTGAACTAGTTTAAACACATCTTTATCAGGGAAGAGTTTGATGCTACACACAAATATGATAAAATATGCAAACACGCATCTAGGAAACTTCCGTGGCATAGTGTAGAGCGCACGTTCTTATTTCAACGCTACTCTCAATGTTTTACATCGATATGCGATTCAGGCATTCGCAATACTAACGAGATACTCGTTATTATACTCTAGATAATAATCTATGAATCACTGCATGCGTACGTACAGCGCCGCGGAACTGCGAAGTATGATGACCTTGATGTTTAAGAAAATCAATAATAAGGAGTAGAATTCAAGCTGCGTCATCACAATTATGATTGCACACGGAGATTCTGCCCAGGACACAGAGAGATTATCCCCAGCACGTGTGTGTGTTTCCACGCGTATACATGCGCGCGTATCGTGCCTGGGAAGTGTTAAACTCTATTCAGTAGATTAGTGATTTCCATGTTTTGCAACGAATTTTATGCATTTTACTACTCATGTTGTGAAAATGAAATGATGTTCTTTATTATAAATACACGATGCTCCAACAATAGGAGACTGCATTATGATTATAATACGTGCTAATATGATACCACGAGGAGCTTATGAACTTAGTTTTACAGACTCATGATATTACGCAACACACGAACGTACTGTGACGTCGGGGCCATCGGCCCGCCATGTGTGTGCGCGTGCGTTATTTACCGTGCGTGCTTGTGAGCGAACAGGAGCAACGTTATAAATTAACGAAGCTCGATCACGTTCCCTCTACATCGGTTTATGTTAGCAATCCACCATCCTTTATGATGCCACAATGACGACCGCCTCAGTTTCCTACAAACAAGCGGTGCGACGTTAACCCCCCTCCTCCCTGTTTCGCACACGTTTATATCGAACAATGATGAAAACCGCACTAAGAAACTGCGACGATGAGACGTTAATATCTCGTGCGGGAAAGCCGCGTCCGGAAATAGCGTAATCTATTTTACGTAATCTATAGCGTAAAAATTATAGATTGATTTTCATTTTTTTCTCGGCGCGCTGCACGGAGGTAGAAAAGCAGTAGATATTCCAGTATAAGCTATAGTATTATACTGTGGTATAATAATTTTTTCTAGACTAGCGGTAGTTTTCTAGACGGGCGTACTGCCCACTCATGCACGGATAAGCATGGCTGAGGGGTATGGCACGCATGCACGCACGCATGCACGCAACTTCGTGTATACGCTTTCTAATTCATGAAATGTAATAGATTGAAGATTTGTAGTAGTGCTTATCAATCCAATCAGTCGCAGCACAGCATAGCAGCATACATGACGTCACGGTGCCACATAACGATACATCGAACGCAGCAGGGCTTCAACGCATTTCTCCGCGATATTGCAATATTGACAAGTTATTAT